TTTTTAGGATTCGATCCGGAGTCCGGAATGGATTAAGTTCGAGAACCGAGGTACCACTGTATACCAAAACAGTATTATGTGGTGTGCTCAGTTAACCGAATTTAATAAACATAAAGATATGCCAAGTTTATACAGATTACTAACTTTTGGGTGTCACAAAAAGCATCTCATATTTTAGCTGTACTACTAATCTGCTTATCAAATTGTGGGCATAAATAAACATCTGTACAGAACCGAAAAGCTGTTGTCCGGCCAAATGTTTCGCCCGTCATCTGAGGCCCTGGTGATTATTGCGCATGCACAACATAATATTGATGTGATATCACCCAGCCCTCCCCATGTGTATATCACTGTGCTTTTACATTTATCAGCATCTGCAGGAAACATCAGATTTGGTGTTACGTCCCGGCCTAGGGACGGGGCGTAAACAGCGATAAGGTTCGGGAAAAGGGGAGCAGGGAGTCGAGAGGTAGAGGAGAAGGAGGTGAGGGAATAACTAACACCCAAGGCGATGATGATGGTAACACTGTGTATTTCAGGGGAAAAGGTGAGCTTCAGGAGTGACACCGGCCAAGACAACAAACAAAGCCCAGTGAATTAACTACCCGCGTACCGACGAACTTCCCTGACCCAAAAAAAAAAGTGAAACAAAAGACAAACACTATCCTAACCCTCGCTAATCACAAAACAGGGACAAAAACGCCGTACAAGCAGGAAACAAATGGTAGTCACTCCCTACAACCCATACCCCCATACACACACACATACAAAAAGAACATATATATATATATTTATAAATCCTAAGAATAGTCGATAATCAGGCGATAAGTCAAAACACGGGTAAACAAATCCAAGCCGAGTAACCAAAACCAAATTGAAAACCAAAGCGCGAAAGTCGAAAGCCAAAACGGGTCGTAACAGTAAATCCGAAATACAATAGCAAAAGGCAAAGCAAATACAAATCACGAACAAAAGCTAGGAGATGGGGTGTGCAGGCGGGAAACGGGAACGAGGCGATGATAACCAGTCCATCCAGTTTTGGCACGGCTTGTGTAGCGAGATGGAAAATGCGGAACCGGAATCAGCAGCTTGACAGAATGGGATCTGAAGGAGCGATGGACTGGACTCACACACACGGACGTAACATTGGTTTCCTGAAAGGGCTCCATACAACTGTGTAGTGTATTTTGCGTGATAAATATTTATTTTTAGCTATATTTAGCTTCCTATCCAGTTGCTTTATTTGTACCAACACTGCTGAAAGCTTATCTGACAGCTTAACTGTATATCAGCCTTTATATTTATTTCTTTGAAATACCAACCGTGGTGTGCGTTATCACACTAGTGTGTGTGTGTGTGGTATCACACTGTTTGTTGTTGCAGCTTGTTGCATTTGCTTTATGTGTTGCATAATTGATATAATTTTTTTTTACCAAAAAACTCTGTTGTTCCCTTTTCTCCAGTCACAGATGAAGACACTGTTAAAAGATACTATGCCAAGTTTGAAGAGAAGTTTTTTCAAGCTTGTGAAAAAGAATTGGCAAAAATCAACACTTTCTATTCAGGTAACTATGACAACTGCATAAGGAAGTTCTGGTTACACATACTGCACATTGGCAGAGATTTCTATTGTTGAATTAAGGTATTAAATCCAGGTATGAAGCAAATAATCTCCAAAAGCACCCAGAATATTTCAGTGTAACATTCCCTGGGGTTTAATTTTGGTGTTTATTACTGTAATGAAAAACTGCTTCAACAAACTTACATTGAAATTGAGAAACAGTCATGCTGGCCAAAAGGAACCATTTGATTGCACAGGTTAACAGGTAATTTTCATTAGAGGTAATTTTATGTGCGGTTTTGTAGTATTTTGCATACTGATTTCAAATCTGTGTTTAGTTTTTCTCTAGCACGTCAAGTTTTTGTGATGAAGCTATATGTAGTATGATATTATGTACATGCAGTCTGCCTAAGTGTTGTCTGTGTTTTTTATCTTATAGACAGCATCACCGTTCTCTAGGTGACTAGATATTGATTTATGTTTTATTGACACTTGTCTAGTTGCGATTCGAGTATAATTAATTTGACCTAGTGCGCATGTCTTGTGTATACAACTTAGTTTGGTGGGAAACATCGGTAGTTGTGCCTCAGGTTTTGTTTTGCTGATGTAAGCTTCTCGACATTTTTTTTATTTCTGGAATAGTTGCAAAAGAAATACTAAATCTAACTCTCGAATTTGAATTCTGGGTCATCGACCTGGAAATCGAAGGCGCCGGTGACAGACAGCATCAACTGTGTTGGCTTTCAGTTGTTATCATGCCTAGAAATTGTATTGATTTAATTGTATTAATCATCCAGACCGTTTCTGTCATGTGTGTGGTTCATTCACAATGAAAGCACCATGTCGCCCAATCACTGCAGATCTTAAGAAGATATATAAATGATACTTTGGCTGTCCACCTGGAGACCAGGATAAATCTTGGGCTCCACATGCCATCTGTACCAGTTGTTGAAATGGTCTCCATGACTGGCTAAATCGGCAAAAGGCAGCAATGCCATTTGGAATTCCGATGGTGTAGAGGGAACCGCGAGACCATCTCAACAATTGCTACTTTTGCCACACGAATACAAGTGGATTCTCAGTTAAAACTAAGCACAAAATTGTATATCCCAGCCTAGATTCTGCAATCAGGCCTGTTCCTCATGACGATTCATTGCCTGTTCCTGTACCGCCACATGATGGTCTTGATATTGTAGAAGGTGATGAGGAGTACAGAGAAGGTGCAGCTGCATGGTTACAGTGAAAGCATGATGGCCGACTACTGCTGGATGCTGTACCGCGACAATCCAGACAAGATGTACACAAGACAATCAAACTCAAAGCATTTTTGAAGAAACAATGGTGGTTAACACTTTTCAATTTCTTTATGCGCACTGTCTATTTGATTTTCCTCAGAAGATGTTTTACCCTATACTACAGTGATGTTTTTGTTTTAGTACATAATACTTGCAATTATGGTAAACAAGGCGAATGGAAATAAACTGCACACAAGCATTTCAATTGCATTGGGGCAGCAAGTGAGCAATGCAGCGGGCGGCGGGTGGCGACGTCCTCAGGCGCTGTCAGCATCCCCTAGACCAGGTGATAGGAGAGCCCTGAGTGTGGGAGGGGTCGGCCGCATCTGTTGCGTATTGGGGCATCGAGGGAACCTATGGAAGTATTTGTTGAACTTTATTAGTTGTAACCCACAGACAACAATCCACAAATATGTATCATGATCTACAAATATTTCACTATCTACCAATATGTATTTTTAAAATTTGTGTTGTGCAAAATCATATCCACGAAAATATGGAAGTTACTTGTACGTGTGAAATGTATTTTGTACATTTGTGGATCACGTCCTGTCTGTTTGTGGATCGCGTTACATTTGTGACTTCACTCCTATTTATTTGCGGATTTTTGTCCACTCTGTACTAGCGCTGCACTATTTATCGATTTCAAATCGAAATCGCAATTTGAAACAACGCGATTAGCAAGTCGCAAAAATCGCGATTTAGGATATACATTATACAGCACGTCGGACCCAGGGTTTAAAACTGCTGCGAGAATAGTTTTACAAATTCATGCCGTGCTCCCCGTGTCAGTCATTCTCACCAATCACAAGCGACGTGCTTCTCGCGTACCAGTCATGCTCACCAATCAGAAGTGGCCCAAGAAGGCGTATAGGCCCACAAACAGCAAACACGTGAAACCCAAGGAAAATGTTACATTCGCGGTGCGGAAAAACACTGATTCCGACATGAAATCACCAATAAATGACTTCTGTTTATTCAACATTTTATAAAATGCCAGTTTAACAAAGCTTAACTAGCAACTCTTATTTTAGCCTTCTTCCAGTACATCACCTGCTGGTGGAGCTGATAACTGCTCCTCATATTGTGGATGTTTTTCTACCCATCAGCTGCGGTACTATTTGACAAAAATCAACAAATAGCAGAGTCACAAATGTTGCGTGAGCCATAGAATTTTTTGTTGTGCTCATTTTTCAATTTATGAATGTGCGTCTATGAGTAATATGTATTTGTTTGCAAACTGCAGCCTGGCTCTTCCTTATTTCTCATTAATGAAGGGCTTCTTCCTTGCTTTATGGGACTTCAGTCTTGCTTCTAGTAGCTTTATACGACCTGTTCTAGCAATGCACTTCACACCTGCACTTAATGTTTCCCATTCCTTCTGTCCAGCTTCACCTTATTCTTGAGTACTGCTGTCTTAGAAATTTTAAACCTGGAAGCATCCTGCTGCCAGCAAAACCACAGTTAAACCAGTATTAAGAATGCAGATTTGTTGAAAAATATAGTGGTCTCTTAATTTTTTCCGCGGCTGTACAAACTGTATATACATGCTAGGGTTGGGTGGTATAAACGATATATTGACTTATCGTCATTTAAAATTTAAAACATTAGGAAATGAGAAAATTTGATAACAAACTTTACTTGAAGGCACACATATATGGAATGCCATATTACTCAAAATGAAATGAATATATTTATACATAAATAAATGAATAAATATTTAAATAATTAAGTGTCATTTTATTCTTAATTAATGTTTCCAGCCTCAGCAAGTCTGAGGGTACTTGTGCAAGACCCTTAACCCCCAGTTCCCTTGGAACCCCAACAGGTCGCTGCCCTTCGTGGACAGCTTACTCTACAAAGAGCAAGTTGAGGGAGGTGTAAAAAGACAATTTCCCGACGGCGATCAATATATTCTATCTATTATTATTATTTTTATTTATTATTAAGTTTCAATAATTGCCCTTTCATTCTTAAATAATAAACATTATTTTGTATGATTACTTCATTCAAATTAAATTTCACACTAAAGTTCAACTTTTCACGTTGATGTATTTCCAAATGATGGATTTCCAAATCAGATTTTTATTTCATAACCCCATTTTTCGTAATGGTAAGCTCTGTTAATCGCTGTGAGGGGGCAGGATCGACCTTGTGATTGGAGAAAGTGTTCCGTGAATGTCTTCACAATGACAAAAGTCGGAACTAGAAACATCAAACACATGGAACGCTGTCAAGGTATAAACTGTGAGAAAGAATGCTTCTCGACATGGCATTTTTTACCCTCTAGACATGTAAAAATACCCATCTTGAAGGACTTCAGCCAATGATGGTTCTTAAATTCGCAAATATTTGCGAACTGTGAAGTACAGCCTCGATAGAACACATGCATTCAGCTACATACATTTCAGACCATGTAACATGCAATATTACTGAGCCTTTTGGTCTTCAATATATTACAGTTCTGAGCTGATTATGTACTCCTGGCTAAACTCTTATAATACAGTATGTTATGCTTCTGTCTATACCGCAGCATTTGACAGAATGCAAGTCAGTGCAGAATGGGCTATTGTGTAGTAAACTGCATGAACGACAGCGCATCTTTTTCCCTGCAACACCAAAAAATAATCTAGTGGGAAGTTGGTTGACTATTAGACTGTCACGACCCATTCTTGAATTCTCGCTCAGAAATTCAGTCCCACTGTGGTCCTGACTACTTTGCTCCTTTTACTTTACTTATTCCAAGTCAGACATATAATTCAGCATATCAATGAACCTCTTCATTGAAATTTTCACAAATTTTGAGCTTAACTGGTTATGATTAAAAGCCGAAATAATATTATATGTCAACCAATGAAGTGCATTACAGACTGATTCCTTTGCTCTTGAATAGAGAAGTATTAGCCTAGGTATATTTTAGTACTTAAAGACCTTAACACATACATTTGTACCGTGTTGACACAGTATAATAATGCATGTCTACACAGGTTTTATTTGTATTTGTAGGTCGCCAAACACACATCTAGAAAGTTAAAAAGACCATGTGGAGGTGTATAGAAGAGAAGAAATGCTGTGTCAAAATGTACCCTTTCTCACTGTTTATACCCAGATGGCATCCATTGGGATAAGAGTTTTGCCATGACATTTCCTTTGTGTACTCCGCTAATCTACGGATCTAACTACTAACCTCCATTGCTTCCTGGGACTTTTCAAAGTACTTCCTGTATCCTCTAGGCCGATTAATGAATTGCAAATCACAGGCTCAGTCCCACTCCCGTCAAAGTGATTGGCAGAGTGCACCATTATAATGAAAAGTAGCATTATGAAATGAAAAGGCTGGTGCGGAAAATCGTCATTCGGAAATACATCGATCTGATATTAATTAATGGAATATATATTTTCAAATAAAGGGACTCACTAAATTATTAAAATATTTGTTTATAGGTATATTTATTTCATTTTGAGTAATATGGCGTTCCATACACATCAGATCACAGAAGTGAACAGAATTCCAACCAATCAGATAGCAGAGGGTGGACAACTTGTGCCCAACAAATGCACTGCATATTGTGGAACAAGCCGTACTGTTAGTGTTTTCTAGTGGTGTGTATTTTTGTTACACATTTCACCTATTGCACTTGAATACAGCAGCATTAAAGTTAAGCAATGGTCAAACTGAGTTGTAATATGATAACATATCTTGCCATATCGTCATTGTCCAGCCCTCATGCATATACTTATAGTGCTTATAGTGCCGTTTCCAAGTATTTCCTGATTCCTTCTTTTTCCTTATTCATGACACTTAATTGTTTCTCCAAACAAATTTAAAATTTAAGATAATATAAAGAACAACACAATGCTCAGATCTTAAATATACACTGGACTCATTGAAGGAAAAAAAACTCACCGATTTTATGTGACAAATTAATTGCCCTACTAAACTTAATTCTTTAACAGCAACAACTGCAATCAAATGGACGTGGTAATAGGAGAGGGAACTTGGATGGGGCAGATACTTTGTCATGGCACTGTACTTATGTTGCTGATTTGATGCCCTTTAAAATTCCAGCTACATTGCCATGATCTTGACTGTTTCAGTTAATGTAGTAAGTTGTTTTGGAGCCTTGCTGGGAGTTTGTTCATTTTGTGTGCTTCAGTTTCTATGCTCCCAAGCTGCTTTCTTGCTTAAGGCATCATACTTTGTTGAAGTGTTTCCTACTCTGCTTTTTAGCTGCCCTCCAGACTAATGTGAAGAAATGCAGGACCGGCCTGCTTCTGTACAATTCTCTGCCACTGGACCAGAGTGTCTGCCTTCATACAGCAAGCAATGAGCAGGCTGATTTACTTTAAGTCCAAGTCCATACTTGTCTATGTTTTTGCTTTATAAATTCCAGACAGCATATGTAAATTGATGTAAGTTATTCAAAATCTGCCAATCAGAGAAGCTTGCAGAGGCACAGAGGCGCTTCGCCACCCTTCAGAATGAGCTGCAGTCGTCTCTGGATGCTCAGAGAGAGGGCAGTGTGCCCGGTCTGCGTAGGCGGCACAAGACAGTGTTCCACCTGTCGCACGAGGAACGCGTCAAATACCGCAACATCAAAGACCTCCAGCTGGCCTTCAGCGAGTTCTACCTAAGCCTCATCCTTCTGCAGAACTACCAGGTGCTCTATATCCAAATTTCGTGGTTAATTTTCCATTATGCAGAATTCCATTCAGTTTATTTTATTGATTTATTTTATTTCGTTTCCATCTCAGAATCTCAATTTCACTGGCTTCCGGAAAATTCTGAAGAAACATGATAAGATCCTGGAGACTCCTCGTGGGGCTGATTGGAGAGTTGCTCACGTGGAGGTGGCCCCCTTCTACACCTGCAAGAAGATCACACAGCTGATCTCCGAGACCGAGGTGCCCCTCTTTTAATCTTGCCAGTGTCACGCCTGAGGTATTACAAAGCCTGGACTCCTCCTTGTGCAGTATATGACATTATTGGCTGTTGACTTGCCTGTATTTGTCTTTAGACCTTGGTGACAACAGAATTGGAGGGGGGAGATCGGCAGAAAGCCATGAAGAGACTGAGGGTTCCTCCGCTTGGCGCAGCACAGGTATGTTCTCATCAGCACTCTGTTTTAATTCTTCCTGTCTTTTTTAAGTAGAACTTGGCTCAAAAGTTAAAGGGCCTTTTATTCAGAAAGAGTATTATCAGAGATGAAGAAGGGAGTTATTGTAATAAGGGCTGAGGATGATATTCCCAAGCCTGATGCACTCGGGTGACCCTTCTTTTCAGTAAAATGGTTTGTCTGTATGTTCGATTCATCACAGGGAGCCACAGACACGGGGAGTGTAGAGATAACCATACTCACAAAGCGCATGCCTGTCGACTGTGGGTGGCAGCTCTCTAATGCAGCAGTGATGCCACCTGAGTCATTGTCACTGACCAGCTCAAAATAACACTGACTCATCCAAATTGTTGTCAAGATGTTCTACTAATGTTTTTGACTTAATCCCTTTTTAAACTTAATACATGTTTGTCAGATCTGTCCCTGATGTTCTGGCCATGTTATTGACAAACTCCGTGTTACAATATAGACAGACTTCTCTCTTTCTTTCATTCCAGGGATTGTTGCAGTTCTGTTTAGGGCTATGCTATATAGAAATAAAGTTCAATTATTAGTAGCATTCATCTTATAGCAACTCAACAAATAGAGGTTTTCATTATAACTTAAACTTCTACATTTATGAAGACATCCATGGCAAGGTGGAAGATTCTTCATCATTTATTAATTTTTTTTTAACTTTACCAAATATCGCTTAACAAGGACTATTTTGATCCCATGGGGAAATTCTCTTGCTTACAGCAGTGAGGTGCATAAAGCGAACAGATACAAACATATAGGCAAAGTGTGAAGAGAACACACAGTGCAGGCAAATAAAGAAGGCAGTACAGTACACAAAGTACAGAAGTACAGAGTACACAAAGAGAAACTCTTGAGGACAGAATATTGTTCAGGAAATATAAATAAAAATAAATGTTTAATATAATACAGATGAGATGCGTGGCATCGGTCACACAATCACTGGACATGCTCTCGCATTGTTTCATCACTGTTTGTTCAGTCGGATTCGTAATTTTTTATTTATTTTTTTTCCTGTTAAGACTCTGTTTTTCCTGACTCTGGCTGTTTTGCCTTTGCAGCCAGCCCCATCTTGGACCACGTTCCGGGTCGGCCTGTTCTGCGGAGCGTTTTGCGTGCTCACAGTGGCCTTCATTATCATTGGTAATGCAGACAACTGTAACCATTTAATTGTCAAAAAGGTCGCGTAGTGGATTCAGTATACTTTACAGTTCATTTGTGGAACATAAAATGAGTCATTTTCCAGTAAAATATTGTGGATGGATAAATACAGTCTATCAAATCTGGGCAATTATGTTTTGTTGAGGCCAAATCCGAGCTTCATGATGTCAGCAGGAGTCGTTTTTAATTACCTTCATGTCCCATGAAAGCCACAATAATAGACTTGTTAGATTTTGGTATTGATTATATTTATTAAGTCAAAGAAAAAATTGTGTGCAAAAATCTTTACCCAAACGCCAGTAAAATTAGCTCAGGTCAGCTTCTGCCCAGGTCTGGTCTGCATACTTCATTGATGTCTGCTTTTGTCCTGTTAATTTTGACAATAATATTGGTAATCTATTTTGTTCACAGGTACCATGTTAACAGGAAAAGGGAATGTGTGGCCGCTGGTGCGTATCTATCGGGGCGGATTTCTGCTCATCCAGTTCCTCTTCCTCCTGGGCATCAACACCTACGGATGGCGACAAGCTGGGGTTAATCACGTACTGATATTTGAGCTGAACCCTCGTAATAACCTGTCCCATCAGCACCTTTTTGAGGTGAGAGTGCAGTGCAGTGATGCAGAGAGATGGCCGGAGTGTGGGCTGGTGTGGCGTCTGCAGAGTCACACGTTTGCTGGAGACTGTTGTGTGACTGTTGCTGATATTATATCATTTTTTTTTAATTGTTTTTCCCCCTTAAAGATTGCAGGCTTCCTTGGGGTGTTGTGGTGTCTCAGTATCCTCGCCTGCCTGAACTCGAAGTCCATCTTGATCCCCATGCAAGTCAACCCACTCATCCTTTATGGCTTCATGCTCTTGTTCCTCATCAATCCCTTCAAAACCTGCTACTACAAGTCCCGTTTCTGGCTGCTGAAACTGCTGGTGAGCCTATGGTCTTTCATCAGAAGTTTTTTTTATCACTAATAGTATCATTAGCATTATCTAAAGTTCTTTGTACCATTTTACTTTTATGATTTTATTTTTATGCATGGATTTTCTTTTTGGTTGTTTGAAAATTTTTCCGCGATTAAATTAGGAGTAAAGAATTTTCTTTTTCTTTACTTTGGATTACTGTCATCCTGTTAGGGTCCTTCATCTACATCTACTTCTGCAGCTCTGGAAAAGGTTGAGAGACCACAGCAACATTATTAGTTTCACTTATTTTTCAATTTATGGGTATGCTTCGGTGTAAATGCAAGATTGGCACTCCAGCCACTGGAAAAAACACTCACACTGGTCCAATCAGACTAATGTAGTGCTGAGGTATCACCCACTGCATGGCTACACTCAGGTTCTCATCCCTGAGGTGGTTTGTCATGTGGTGGGTGCAGCAACGCACTGTAATCAGTTCCTGCTCCTTACCTCTCTTATCTGTGTAAAATGTACATTTACATACATTGTAAAGTCCAACCTGGCTCTTCTCTGTTTCTCATTAATAAAGGGCTTCTTGCTTTATGGGTCTTCAACCCTACTTCTAAAAGCCTGATATGAACTGTCCTAGCAGTGCACCACTTAATGTTTCTTTTTGAAGGTTACTTGATGTCATCCCTTCAATTCATGAGGCACTGTTCTTGTGTACTGCTGCCTTAGAACCTTTGAGCCCAGAAGCACCCTGCTGCTCAGTGTAACCTTCTGCCAGCAGAACCAGGATTTAAACCAGGGTTTAACAATGCAGTTTCTTAAAAGAAATATGGAGTGGTCTAAATTTTTTCCAGGGCTGTGTACCTTTTACTGTTTCTACATAGGCTTGAGCGATTCAACAATACACACTTCAATAGCAAAAACAAAATTGTTTACTAGAATGTTTGATAGTTTCACTTGAATGCATTAAATGCAAACCACCAGGAAAGCACAAAATGAATACGCTAATTTTGGTTGCACGAACAAACCCCAAGCGTGCTCCTTCCCTGGTTCATAAACAGTGCATTATATCCCTTGATAATGGAGTGTGCTACGAGAGACTTTTTAAACAGCCAGTCGTTCATTAGGTGTTTGTTCAGTTGCACCATCAACATGTGACACAACAACCGAAACAGCGTGGAGTAAGACAATGAGTGAATGTGTTGAGGAAATTGTTGATAAAAAAGGATAGGTCAGCTTGCCAGTATGGCAGTTTTTTTTTAGAACATCTCTGTGTGCACAATTATTAGGCAAGTTGTATTTTTAAGGATTTATTTTAGTATGGAACATATACCGTGCTATCACTTAATCCAGAATGTCAATAAACCAGAAAACTGAATTTCACAAAGGAAATGTGAGTGTGAACATTTGCAGGGGAATACATATATGTGCACAATTATTAGGCAACTGAAGGAAAAACAAATTTTCCCATCTCACTTATTTATTTTCATCTGTTAAAGTGAGAATAATAAACAAACAACTCAAAATTTACAAATAAAAATCAGTGACCAATATAGCCACCCTTCTTTTCAATTATAGCCATAAGCCTTCTATTCATGGAGTGTCAGTTTCTGGATCTGTTGACGCTGAACTTTTTGTGCAGCAGCAAATGCAGGCTCCCAGACACTGTTCAGAGAGCTGTACTGTTTTCCTTCTCCGTAAATCTCCCATTTAAGAAGGGCCCACAAGTTCTCAATAGGGTTTAGGTCAGGTGAGGAAGGGGGACATGTCATTATTCTTTCATCTTTAAGGCCTTTACTGGCTAGCCACGCAGTGGAGTACTTCGATGCATGCGGTGGAACATTGTCCTGCATAAAAATCATGGTCTCCTTGAAGGATGCAGACTTTTTCCTGTACCACTGCTTGAAGAAAGTGTCCTCTAAAAACTTGCAGTAGGTTTGGGAGTTGATTTTGAGTCTATCTTCGAGCCCAAAAGGTACAGCTAGCTCATCTTTAATAATACCAGCCCATTCCAGTACCCTACCGCCACCTTGCTGGCATCTGAGTCGTCGTGGAGCTCTGTTACTAATCCAGCCATGGGCCCATCCATCTGGTCACTCTCACCTCATCAGTCAATAAAACCTTTGAGAAATTGGTCTTCAGATATTTCTTGACCCAGTCTTCATGTTTCAACTTATTTGTCTTGTTCAGTAGTGGTCAGGTTTCAGCTTTCCTCACCTTGGCCATGTCTCTGACCACTGAACACCTTGTACTTCTGGGCTCTCCAGGTAGATTGCAGTTCTGGAATATGACAGCACTGGTGGACAGTGGGTTTCTGGTAACTTCACGTTTGATTCTTCTCAAATCTTTGGCAGTTAATTTGTGTCTTTTTGTCTCAACACATTTCTTGCGGCCCTGTTGATTATTTGCAACAAAACGTTTGATGGTTCTGTGATCACGCCCCAATATCTTAGCAATTTCAAGAGTGCTGCATCCCTCTGAAAGACTTCTTACAATTTTTGTCTTTTCAGTCAGTCAAATCTCTTTTTTGCCTGAGGAAAACAAGCTGCCTAATAATTATGCACACCTTGATATTAGGTGTTGATCTCCTTAGGCCACCCCTTAAGCACATCACCCGATATGCTTAACTCCAATAAGCATTCAAGATTATACAACTTGGAGTCAAAATGTATGCATAAAAATGATGATATGGTAAAAATTCTCACTTGTCTAATTGTGCACATAATGTATTTATCTCTGTCAGTATTTTGCTCCATGAGAACAGAAATGAGGTTGCATTAGTGATGACCTTGGTGGAGTCTGACAAGCAACATTTGGCAGTTAGAAGAAGCCTAGTTAGAAGCCTTGTTGAGAGACTTATATTTTCCATATTATCCATGCTTTCCGGATGGATTTATTCTTACCATACAGTAAAACCCCTTGGTCCTCCTGCTTTGAAATTCACAGCTTGGATGGGGAGTAAGTTAAAAACTTGCACACTATTTACTTTAGTTTCACTCAAATTTGTGTAATAGGTTAGCAAAATATTAAATACAGCTTCAAGGCATTATGAGTACTAGCCCAAAATGTGTAAACTCAATACTTGTGGTAATCATTAGCTAAAATCTCATATGTGTATACTTGTAGTTAACATTTAAAAGCAAAGTTTTTTGCTGTATAGTAACTGCACCTTGTACTGCTTTGCTGTTGAAAAGTCCTCTAGATGACAACACTAACCTGTTCCTAATCCTTCTGACCATATAACAGCTGTTGCTTCTGGACACTCTGTTGTCTTTCTTGCAGCATTACGAACAGTATTTGTGTTGTTTCTGTATGGCTACTGTGTTCTTGTTGACTTGTGAGAATGGACCTTAGCCAAAAGCTCACTCTCTTCCCCCTCCTTTCTGGCTCAGTTCCGTGTCTTCACAGCACCCTTCCACAAGGTAGAATTTGCAGACTTCTGGTTGGCTGACCAACTGAACTCTTTGGTGGTACTTCTGATGGACCTGGAGTATCTGGTGTGCTTCTACAGCTTTGAGCTTAACTGGACAGCACAGGATGGCCTGCTTTCTTCCACAGCAGGTTAGGTGTTCTTCAGCCTGAGAGTCCTTCTCTTTTGAGCCATAAAGCTGTTTGAAATCTCTCATCTGTCTACTAAAGTGCAATGTGTCATTAAAAAAAACCGACAAAGGGGAATGCATATCACATTGTTTATTCCAGACAACAGACTTTTCACTATTTTATCTTAAAATGTCATGGTTTGCCATTCACAAAATCTCCTTTACACTTTACAAAATCTGTTACAATTTGTGTGGTTCCTGGGATTTGAATCCATGACCAATGCATTATTAGCGCAGTGTTCTATTTGTTGAGCTACAGGAGCTATCTTTGAATATGCTAATGGTGCACCAGTTTGTGAAAAATAAAGCATTTTGATTTACTTACAGATGCTTTTTGAACATTGACAATTTTAAATGGTCTTCATTTTATTGCAGGTGGCACATGCAACACATATTCGTATGGTGTCCGCGCTGTGATCCAGTGTCTGCCAGCCTGGATCCGCTTTGTGCAATGCCTGCGGCGTTACCGCGACACCAAACGGGCTTTCCCCCACCTTGTCAATGCGGGAAAGTACTCCACCACCTTCTTTGTGGTGACTTTTGCCGCACTCTACCAAACCCACAAAGGTAAGAATGAAATGCAGCATGAAGATCCAGGCCAGTGTGCCAATGAGGACTGACCTGATCTTGAAACACCTCATTATTTTAGTGTATCACAGGAGCAAAGATCAGAAAAAGTGTTTTCTGCCACAATTCACTTCTAAATTGGAAAGAAATCTGAATTTTCTCTACTGAATGGATGATGTGCAAAGATCTGGAAGTTTTTAAAGCATCCCCCCTAGATCCTTTCTGTAAATTTCAGTTATTTGCAAACAACACTACTGTATATGATATAAGTATATATTTTGTTTTTCCCCTTTAATAAGTTATTAAACTTTAATAAGTGCAGTTTCCTGCTGTCTGGTCAGATTGTTGTATTCCCTGCCGCAGACACTTTGGAATGTAAGGCGATAACTCAGAAAACATTTGACAGATCCTTTTCAAACTTTGCAAAGGCATTGTGTGGGTGAGGAGCTAAAACTGATTACATTTTGAGATGGATCACCCCAAAATTACAGCATCACTGCATAGTGTTAACAAAAAAAGACAGTTTTAACACTTGATCTAGTTAAGATGATAAATCAAGAAGAAGACCCAGGGGGGGGCTGCCTGCTACTGCAAGGGACTGGCAACTACTGGTTGACCTGGGGAGACAGTTGGATGCTGTTCAACCGAATAGTTACTTCAGCATTAGCTCAAATACAAGAACTCGTGGCCATAGGTGGAAATTAGCGGGAGAACATTTCAAACTGGATTTAAGGAAGCACTTCTTTACACAGCGTGTAGTCAGAGTATGGAATAGTCTTCTTGATAACGTAGTGCAAGCTGAATCCTTGGATTCCTTTAAATCAGAGCTAGATAAGATTTTAACAACTCTGAGCTATTAGTTAAGTTCTCCCCAAGCGAGCTCGATGGGCCGAATGGCCTCCTCTCGTTTGTATAGTTCTTATGTTGTTATGTTCTTGACACATTTCACCTTGCCTCC